CTGCCATTCCTCTTCTAGGTTTCAAGAAGTTGAGGAAATATCTGGAAGCCAGAAAAACTGGCGTTCTTTAGATTTGCTGAGAACTGGATTTCTTGGAACTCCGTAGCTTGCGGATCTTCAAAATGAAATAATTTAATTTATCATTGTTTGGAAAGGTTATATTGCTAGCAGATAGCTTCAGTATGGAGGAATGAGGAAGGAACAATGAATGGGATTAACACTGTGAAGCTGGAACGGAGGGCTACAGCAAACCTCATGTCTCTACTCTTGCAATATATATTTTTTTAAACTTGTAATGGCCTGTGGCTATAAACAATAAAGAACAACTTAGTCTAAACATATACTCTCTTTTGGAGATTCATTCTAGGATCTTTATTTGTGTTTAAACAAAAATAGAAATGAACTGAAGATTGATTAGAATGGATTTGGGCAGAGAATCACCATATTCTCTTTCTGCCTCAGTCCTTGTTTAAATGACAGGCTTTTAAAAAAAATGTGGATTTAAAAAGTGAACTAGTGATTGAGTTTTTCTTGTGGCATTCATACCTCACCTGAAATTCTCTCTTCATCGTAAGGTGCAATCATATGCCATTTTAGACAGATGAAAGGCCAACAATTCCCTGTATGCTCCAGCAAGCTTAGCTGTAGCTTTTTCTGTCTAACCTGGCATAGAATTGTGATCTTAGTCATTGCTCTGAATTGGGAATTAAACCTTTAGTCACTTCTTTGTAGTCACACTTTGTTCCATCATGTCATATTTTATCAACAACTTACTTCGCACTCTGTTAGACTAGATGAGGCCTTCAAGAAATATCGAGACCTCCCGTCCTCTTTGAGGTTGACTCTTATTATCTGCCTTGGAAGGCATGGACATAATCACGTTCCACTTGGGAAATTCCAAGCTGCATGCGTGGAAATGGTTGTGCTACACATTTATAAATAATTGAAGATTTTTGTTCAAGCAGCTTTGCTCCCCCTTGCCATCAGGAGCAGCTTCCAAGGTAACAAGGGCAAATGGTTGAATTTTCCTTTGAAGTCAATGCTTTTGCTCCCCAGCCTGCTTTTATGCACAATGGTGGATTAGCTGCCGTGATTATGAATGAAAAATAATACCTTTGAATTACTGCACAAATGTGGCAGTCCCACCATCTCCCGCCGTAGCTTTGTGTCGCTGGCTTCCCTGGAGCAAAACTGTTGAGGAGTTGTATGTGTGATTCATTTAAGCCAGAGCTGCGCTTTCTCCTGGGATAAATATGCATGTAGTTGAGCCCTTAGCAAAGTTTCTTGCAGCAAAAGATACCTTTGCTCTTGGCCTGGGACGGGAGACAGTTTGCAAACAGGGACTCTCGTGACATCATTGGCTCTGTTCCCGATGAAGGAAATGTAAATGTCAGAGGTGGGGTTGGGACAGATTCTAGTTTAGCTGGTAGTTGGACTGGAAAAGGCCTCGATTTGAGGTCCTAGACTACTATTGCCAGGATACGGATCTTACCTGACCATTTCTTGACTCCATACCAAATTCCTTAATATCTTTGTTACACAAGGCCTTCCATGCCTCTTAATTTCCTTGATACATCATAGGAATAACTTGCAAGGCATCTGGAGTGGATAAGAATTCTGCTCAATTCTGTTCTGTCTGTAGTAAACATTGATGTTCTCATGATTCCTCTGTCTTGCATTCTTCCTTAAAAGGAGTGCTAATCTTGATATATTCTGATGTTCTCTCAGGTTGGCTACCCACTGGGTAAGCAAAGGGAATGTGGACTTTATTCCATTTCAAAAGAATTTCACTATTCTTAAATGCATGCATTTCTTAAAGAAAACATAAGCCTCTAAGCTTTTCTTTGCAGGGTTGGAGCTTTAAGCTCTAGATATAGAGCCAGTGTGGTGTGGTGGTTCAGAGCGTGGGACTGGGACTCAGGTGATCTGGGTTCGAGTCCCCGCTCAGCCATGGAGCCCACTGGGTGACTTTGGGCCAGTCACAGACTCGCAGCCCAGCCTGCCTCACAGGGTTGCTGTTGTGGGGATAAGATGGAGGAGGAGATGTAAGCTGCCTTGGGCCCTTTGTAGGAAAAAGGCAGGATATAAATTGATAGATAAATAAATATACAGACTCGAGGTCATTTGAATTAGCAACATTTTACCCACATAGAGAGAAGGTGTGATCTGCCTTTGCACGGGTTTAGATTCTTGACCAACTCCAGTGAACATTGGTACATTTCCCATGGGTCAGTGGCTTCCTATGCCTGTGAAATGGAAAATTATCTCCCTGGTACGTTAAGTAGAGTTTTACAGGTATCTTTGATCCAGAAAAATCCACGAAGGAATTGTACGACCAAAGTTGACACATGGTTTCATTTCCAGTACAGGTCCTGCAATATATAGCCCTCATTTTATGTTTATTAAACAGAATTTTTTTGGCCACCGTTGCTAGAAGAGCTAGTAGGCACTAACAGCAGACTCCTCAAGGAATTGTTTGTCTGTTGTCTTTAAACATTGTCCATGTTGGCAGTCATCAATGCATCTTGTGGAAACAGCATCCATAATTTAATGGTGTGCAGTGTCATCTAATTTGTCCATCCTGAATCTCACACCATTTCACCTCCTTTGATCACTCCTTGTTCTAGTATTTCCCCTGTTAAATAATATGCTGTGTTGTATTAATCACCTGAGATGCTCTATTGTGAAAAGGAAACAAGGGCACCATGGCAACTGAGATGGAGGTTTGCTGGACATAAAGCCAATTAATATAAACCTGGGAGATTGTAGCAACCCTTTGCCTCTCTTTTGGGTTCATATTTCTACTTTCCAAGGTATAGACTATAAAGTATATAGTCATAAATGGGGAAAATGTACAAAATAGGCAGTTAAAATGAAGCAAAACATACTATAATCAAACTCTGACATCTAGAGAGTCTTCAAACTTTTTTGGGGGAAAAATTGCAATGTAGTGTGGTAATAGCAACAAGGGTCTTTATAAAGGCAGCCCAAATTGTGCTGATTCTGAGATATTAGGAGCTTCCATTGGGAAACACTGTGGGCCCACTGATAAATTTTGGAACATCTTTCGTCTGTATTTGTGTCCCCTTCGCTTTCTGTGTTAAAGCAGTTCCGTGCTACTTATTGTGTGTGTGTGTGTGTGTGTGTGTGTGTGTGTGTGTGTGTGTGTGGTTTTTTCCACTGCTCCATTTAGTATTTTCCAGGTGCACACTACTTTTCTTTTATTTCATTTTCATTTGCCTCTAGAATGAATCTGAGAATCTGTAACTGCATTTCTTTCTAATTTTCCAACATTAGTGGAGAATTGGGATTTTGTGCATCTAAAACTAGATTGTAGATAGTTGAGCTATATTTATTGTGTTTAAGTGGGTTGGGTTTCCCTAAGGAGAGCTTGCACTCAAGTCTCAGTAGTGTGATTATAAATGTCTTTATGTACGAAGCATTAATCACAGTTAAAACGGAGAACATGCAGTAATTTTATTTTCTGAGTGCATGTGATGTGAACATCTCTACTTCCTCTTTTGGTTAGTGGGTGATTCTTCTAAATGGTAAAATGGGTATATGCTTGGGACTGTTTTTGAAACATTTAGACATGTATTTCTAGTGAGAACAAGCTTCAAGGCATTTTGGCTGGGATCCAAGACAAGAAGCTGCTTTAAGGGCTGTGTGTGTACACATGTCTGTTTTTCCTCTCTGCCCCCCCCCCCCCACCCCAAATCAACAGACCCTTCAGTTTGGAAACTCCCTTCAATTTCAGGCGAGATGTTCAAGGAATGCAAATTCAGACCTCCTTCAGCTTGTGCAATGAATCATGTAACCTGTGTACCTCAGATTATGTGTGTTTTATTTACTGTGTTTGCACATTTTAAGATGCTTTGTTTTTGCTTCCGTTCTCAGTCATAATACCATGTGCTTGAATAATGTTGATCTCCCTTTTCTCCTGTTTTACAGTTTGCTATTGAGCATATCCTTTGGTCTTTTTGCAGTAACATCTATTTTAATTATTAAATGACTGTCTTTTCTTGGCCATGTCCTGACCAATGCTCATGGCAGGCCTGGTAATACCTAAACCTCTTCTAAGAGTGAGCAAGGTCAGGCCTTTGCCAGTGTAATCAACCAGAGCAAAAGATAAAATGGAAGGGCATGGAGAAAACAATATGGAGGCTTTCATTTATATGTCAAACCTGTATGGAGAAGGTTTCCCCCACACATGCCAAAATACTTGATCTGGAACATGTTATTTTAAATTATCCTGCTCATCTTGAGCATAAAAGGAGTAAGGAGTGAAGTGGCCGAGTTTGCTGATGGCACGAAGCTTTTTAGGGCAGTGAAAACCAAAAGGGATTCAGCTTAGAAAAAGGGCGACACTGACACTCAAACGCAGGGCCATCCCATGAAGCTGATTGATGGGAGGTTTAGGACAGATAAAGGGAAATATTTCTTTACAGGGCATGTAATTAAACTCATGAGAAGTGGTGAAGGCCGGTGGCCTGGATGGCTTTAAAGGGGAATTGGACGGACTGATGGAGGAGGACAAAGCTATCTGACTACTAGGCTTGCTGGCCATGTGCTTCCTCCTTGACCAGTTGCTGAGGGGCTTGGGAAGGAGGGGGTCTTGTGGACAGCCAGTTTGCCCCCATATGTATGGCGTGCTAGACTAGATGGACCTTTGGTCTGATCCAACGTGGATTTCCTTATGTTCTTAAATGCCTAGATAGACGCTGCTGTTGCAGAAATACCATGCAGGGGTGCTTTTGCTAAAGGTCTAGCCAAGAGTCTGGATGTGCTCTTTCCGTTCTGTAAAACGTTTGGAGCTCTGCTTTCTAAATTTTTAGTGACTTTTCAAACTCCCTCCATAGTGTTTTGTCCTTATGAGTGCTATAACACTCCAGTGCCAAAACATAGCCAGTACTTTTGCAAATGGGCAAGTGGCTTGCAGCAATCTTGGGAATCATTTGGTAAAACTGACTTTAGAATTCTTTTTTTTTTTTTAATTCTAGGTGGCAATAAAAATCATTGACAAATCTCAATTAGATTCTGTGAACCTGGAGAAAATTTATCGTGAAGTGCAGATAATGAAGATGTTGAACCATCCACACATTATCAAGCTTTATCAGGTGTGTAGCCATCTTGTTGCCAAGCCTAAGCGTTAAAGATTTGTAAGCACTGGAATGAATCTCCTTGTCCAAGGAAGACCTTTATTGTATATTTAGCGGACAGCTCTTACGTGGCCAAGTATGAATGTTGGTGTACAAAACTGAAAATAATTTTAAAAATCAGTATGCTTCACAAATGTTCTGCTCGATTCTTTGTGATGGTTGAAATCTGAATGGCTTTGAAAAATCCATTAATTCACAGGGTTGTACTCCCATTGACTTGAATAGCCAGAGGCAAGGAATACTAATCACCACAGGCAGTGCACGTCTCTGGTCGACAGGAAGAACACCTGTGTTCTTCAAGCAAGGCTGTAGGGATTCTGCGCAGCATGGAAGCTCGGTGGCCACAGCACTGGGCCAGTCCTGGCGCAGAATTCACCACCTGTCTGGTCGCGCTCACTTGGCTCCTCATCCAAGTGGAACTTGACTACGGTGGAAAGTGTGTCCGTGCATCCAGACTGGGACAGCTGCAGTGTTGCTGCTCTAACAAGCTTCCAGATGTTAGAGGAGCAATAGCCAAGTCTGAGACAACATTAAGGCTGTTCATGCTGCTAGGTTTCCTGTAAGTTCGGGCACTTCCACCTACAGAAGGGCACAGGTAGGAGGAAGCTGGTAATCCCTCAGCAGGCTCAATTGCAAACAGTAATTCTGAACAGCCCCACCCCCCACCCTTAAGCATTTCATGCCAACGTGGCCAATTACTTCTGTGTTGTGCCTCTCTAGCTTGTGAGCTGCTATGTAGGAATTCATCCTTCATGGGCTCCTGATTATCTAATCAGCATTCAGTAGTGCAATACGCAACTCAGCAAGTTTCAGAGTGTGAAAGAGTGAACTTTTAAAGATGAGATCATGCTCTGAGTGTGAGTTGTGTCATGTGTGTGGTTGAACTGGGGGAAATTGTTATTTTTAAATCTGCCGAGTGCCTCTGACTTACCTTTCACCATGATAGTGCTTCGCTTTTGCTCAGGACCTGGATAGTAAGAAGGCAGGGGAAGATCATCCCTATTTCAAGGATGACTCAGTTGTTTTTCATGTGTTAGTCAGATCCCACCACAGTCGTCGGGTTGCCGATGCTCAGTGCTGAGCCTTCGGCACACCAAAAATGAATCGGGATGGAATTTGTTTTGTGTCATTGCTTCCCCCGAAGTGTTTTTCAAGGTTCTGAGAAGTCTTTTGTAGATTTTCCTAGGCAGTTTGGAGAGGAAGAAAGATAGAATCCCATTTATAGAAAGCCATGAAATAAACAGGTCTGCAACTGCTTAAATAGGTCATACAGGCATGCCTTCATTTTTCATTTTTCACTTGAACACCCATGAAGTGTCACAGACTTTGGCAAGAGTTTCTTTTACACTTAAGTGGATAAATGTTCTCGAAGTCTCCATCAAAGCTTTTCTTGGGCCATGTGCCCTCCATTAGAACCCTTGTATCTAATGATAACATGACAGTTTATAAGAGCAGTGCATACAGTAAGCTTCTCAAATTACTGAACAGTCAAGCTGTTGCCATACTACAGAAACATTCTTTGATTGATGCAAATGATTGCCTTTGGGCTTTTAGATTAGTCAGGAAGGTGTTCCAAGTGGGGAACAAAGTACAGAATTGAAGCTAAGCTTTGATATTCAACTTTTGCCATTTTATATTGCTTGTAGCACCTTACATGAATGGAAAACACACCATAGAGTAAGAGGAAAACCCAAATTTAGATGCTGAATATGGTTCATGCATGTCTCCTGCTCGGTGAAATGAAGAGACGATACACAAGAGCACATGTGAGGAATAAGGGCGCCAGTGAATTGTGTCCATTTAAACAATAGTCCCAGAGCTAAGAATCCCTCATTGTCCAAATGACAGTCAAGGGTTGCCCCCGTTAATTGTTAAGCCTTAAGCAAACAGGAATCTTCCTGCTGTTTAAAGAGGAAAGATCTGATTTAATAAGGCCTTGTTAGCTTTAATGTTACCAGCAGTAACAGTCTAGTGGTTCCAATTTTATTGAATTGTGCCCCAACCGTGACAGCACCCTATAAATCAAGGGGAGCATCTGATAGTATGAAACAAACACCCTACCTTGCATTTTTCAAAGTGGAATGCAGAAAGGAGAGTTGTCTGTGTAGTGAAAAGAATCGTGTAACTTTCATGCTCTGCTCTCGCAGGAAAAGTAGCTAGCTGCAGCGTTTCGTTTTCAGTAGCTCTACATTTTTATTGGGGACTAACTCCTGCCATGGGTATGTGATAGCACACAGAAGTCAACCAGCTAGTAAGTCAACAAGCAGACAGATAAGAAGTGTACATTAATTAATTGTACACTGAATAATGATCAAGGATATCGCACTCCTTTTCATGAAGTGTGTGTATACAAAACCTTTTTTTAAAGATAGAAGGGAGAGCAAGATTTATTAAGGGCAAGGGCAGTATGACCTTTCCATATGTTCTGTGTGCAATATATTGGTAGGCTGCATAGAAATCATGCTACATTTTCAGATCTGCCTGGGAACGATTCCATCCCTGGCTTCTGAGCAGCCACGTACCTGGCAAGGTTGGAAGAACACACTTCAGCCCCTTCCTCCTTTCACTGCCGCTTTGTTGCTCGGAAAGAGGCTGGCCGCTTGTCCAACGATGCTGAAGCCCGAGTTTGAGGCACCACAGCGCTACTTTGGGGGAAACACAAAACTTGATTTCTTTATTTCTATTTAATCAGTTTACACATGGCTTGCTTATACCTAACATCATGTCTCGTTTTAGAACATGTGAAAGTTTCAAGTGCAAAGTGCTTTAGTTAAAGTATTTAAAATAAACGAAACAAACCCCACTCTCAATTTAAAGAGAAAGCTAAGTCAGCAAACTGGGCAAGACAATCAGCCGGGGAAGGTCTGGGTGAAAAGTTAACTGGTGCTGAAGAGGTCAAAGTTGGTGCTTTCTGAAAATCATAATATGGATCCAGCCTAAATTTTGCTTTTTTTTAAATGCTGGCATGAAAATGAACATTTTGACTTAAGAGAATTCACTATTAAAGCTTGCTATGTTTATTAAAAGCAGTTCTAGTCTGTCCTTTACCTATTGACAAGCCTGCCTGGGTGTTTTAATATTTTAAATGCGCTTAACTCATTTGGTGCAAGCACTGTGCTCTTTACCATGAGGGTTTACAAGCTGTGTTAGATTTGGAAAACGGTTTGAAATTCTTGGGACTTGGTATCATATTCTAAAGCATCAATCTTGCATGTTTTTGTTGTCCCAGTAATGAATGTGCCCAATGAAAGGAGAGGTCAGGGTTTCGTGAAAGAGTAGAGAGGGAGGATTAACTGGTAGCGGCAGGTGTAGAAAGTATAAAGCCATGGTGATAACAGGGTTTAAGAATATTATGAAATACCCCATTTTGGAAAGCATCTTTTACAGCAGTTGAAGCCTGCCGAAAATCCTGATAGTTGATGAAAAGCTTAGCTGAGTTTGGCCGGCTTTCTTAAAAACTCCGTCGCTGCATTACCAAGTTGCAGAGGGGTCGTAATCTCCTGGGAGCTCTTTTATCTCATAGTTCACAACTGCTCCTGTCATATGAGGCTTAAAAGAAGGTGTTTGTTGCAAGGAAGTCCACACGTATCTTGAATATGTTAGTGAAGATCTTCTCCAGCATACTTCAGATGTCTGGGCAATTCTCACCTCCTGATTCTGATACCCGGGGTCAGTGTGGACTGAACTGGATGCCAAACAAGGACATTGGGAAGCAAGAGGAAACTTTGCAGAAGTATCAAACAACAGGCGGGTTCTGTGGGAATCTTCTCAAGGAAGACTGGGCACACGGGAAAGGAAAACTGGAAAGCAGGGGAAGGGAGAATGAGCAGAATTACCTGGTTAACACAGGAGTGTAGAAACTGAGACCCAAAAGTCATATTTGGCTTGCCCGGGGTGCTGATCCCATCCTCTGGGTTCCCCAGAAGGGGTGAGGAGAGAACATGCAGAAGCATTGCATGGGTGGGATCTCAAGATTTACCAAATGTGGTGTCTCTGTCTCCACGATGTATTGCAGCGTTTTCCCTATTTTGTATTCCTGGATATCTGTGAGGTGCATCAGAGAGGCATAAACTCCAGTGCTGAGAGCCCAGATGCTCTCGGTCCCCCTCATACTTGAGGTATTTATGTAGGAGCCGAGCAAACCAGCTGCTTTGGCGTGTTAGCTCAAATCCTGCAGCCTTCAGGCTGCGTTTGCAATTGGTCCCAGGTATCTCAGAAGGAAACAAATGCACTCGTCTAGGCAACCAATGCAAGGGAGCCTTTAATAGCGCCTTTGAATTTGAATCCTCGAACATCCAGGATTAAAAGGTCTTTGATGGTCACCTACTGTGCTTGGGGGGAAATGTTGGAAAGTGTCAGGATCTTGTCGTTTGTCCCCTTTTCCCCCCTAAGTAAGTTAATGTGTGCTACATCTACCAACAGGTGATGGAGACCAAAAGCATGCTGTACCTTGTGACGGAATATGCCAAAAATGGAGAAATATTTGGTAAGCTTTTTCACTCTAAAAATAACTTGCTAGTTTATTTCAGTGTCTACATATTGTGACTTACATGGGGATTGTTTTCCCTTTTAAAAATAGGTTCCTTATACCTACACTGCACCTTGTCTTCCTCTTAAGGGAACATTTAATACTCTTGTTGAGACTGACGAAACTTCTCTTTGAAAGGAAGCTCTGCTGTTAAACTTATTTATGGGCATTGCTTTGCCTCTTGCCGAATGAGTAAATAAGCTATTTATTGAGAATGCTTTGTCACTGTGCAAATATTTGTTACTTTATTTTTTTAATGGATTATTATATATCCTGTTTTTTCCTGCAAAGAGCCTGAGGCGGCAGCGTCCATTTCCATTTATCCTCAGGATAATGCTGTGAGCTCAAGTCGGCCGGCGCGCTTCATGGCTGCGTGGGCACACAATCCAGATGCGGCTTTTCACTCTCCCACTATTCCACACATTCCCTAGCCTACCAAGCGACTTGTGCACTAGTTCTGGAGGGAAGCGATAGTTTTTTACCATGTTTAGCGTGTGAGAAGTGGCAGATTTCATGCGACTGCAACCTAGGGAAAAGCTCCGCAGCTGCAGACAGAGGTGCCGTGTCATCTTCTCCTTCCCCGTTTGCTGCAGTCGGTCGCAACAAGAGGCGGTGAAAGAGCCAGAAGGTGCTTCTGAAGCATGGCGCCAAGCCCCAGCTTCTGGTGACCCGAGATGTTGGGATCCAAAGAGGGCAGTTCCCTACCTTGGCATATGCTGCCACTGGGCAGTATCTGCCGTTAGGCTGACGCACAGTAGGCCAGTTGGAACAGATGAGATTGACCTCAGTGCTTGTCTTTCAGAGGTCTTGACTGGGGCGGTTTTTGGAAGCGTTGCGGGATCCGTGGTATAGAATGTCTGTGTGTGCTGCAGGCACACGGCACGTGCACCTGAGACTGTCTCTCAGCAGCCCCTTGTCCTGGCCCAGGGAGAGGGAGAGGGGAGGCTTGGGGTCTTTGGACGAGCGATCGACTGCCTGTCTCCCAGGATGCGCCGTTGCTGGCTGGCGTTGTGGTCCAGGCCAGAAATTGCAGCGATCCTCCTCTGCCCCTCCTTCCACAGGCAGGCGCACACTGCCACAGGGCTTTCCAAGGAAGGGGAGGGGTGGACAGGCCTTGGAGCATGCCAGCTTTGCGGAGGCCAGCGCTTCAGGCCCAGCACCTCCACACCCCCAGCTTGCCCTTGGGCGGGAAGGTGCGAGTACAGAAGGAGGGGCCAGTTTGGCATTCCTCCATGAACTTCTGGGAGGTTTCAGTTAGCAGTGTCCAAGCTCTCCCATTCTCGGCCTTCTATTCTCGGCATTCTCCCATTCCTATTCTGTGTTGAAAGGATGATATATTTACAGTATTTCTGTACCACTCCCATGTCCAGACAAATTCTGGAGTGGCGAACCAAATGAAGTTAAAACAAATAGCCTAATAAAAGCCAATAGCATTAAGACTGTGGCTGGTCAGTGAGAAAAGACTTCCCAGAATAAGTTGGTCTTCAACAGGTGCCAAAAACAGCACAATGATGGCAGAGAATTCCATAGAAATGGGGCCATCATGCCGAAGGCCCCTTCCCTGCTGGATTCAGTTGGGCCATGGGTCCAGGTGAAAGCACCAGGAGAAGGTGGATGGAAGAAGGCACTGTCTCAGGTATGCTGGACCCAAGACCTCTGCACACTGGTGGGAAACCCTAAGCCTGGCCCAGCACCCATTCGGTAGCCAGTGCGGTCCCTCCAGCAAGGGACTGCATGCTGAAAAGAGCCGGCTGCCTGCAGCAGCCAAGTGCCCTGTCACTGTGGCCAAGCCAACCCTGCCCAGAAAAGGCCACCGCTGGCAAACCAGTTGGAGATGGCGCAAGTGAAATAAGGCACCAATCTTGAAAATCCACCATGGCAGAGGTCCATCTGCCTTCTAGGATCTGAGCTCTGACTCTTTGGTCACCTGCTGCTGGCCCTCTTCTTCCCAGAAGGAATTCCTGCTTTTTGGAAAGGGCCAGCCTCCCATGCCTTCATCCACCACAGTGAGCACGATGAGCCACCCGCTGGTCTCCAGACATCGGAGGTGGGCAGAGGTCTCCCCACCAGGCACATGGGGATTTCTGCCACCTTTTTAGTGGGGTGGGGGGAGAAGGCTGAAGATCACTGGCAGCTTCCTAACTCTCCCTAGATCTGCTGGTGGATCAAGCTCAGCACCTTCAGCCCTGGTTCCTCCTGCTGGGGATCCCCTGGGGAGTGCTTTACTTAATCCCGCCATGTGGTGCAGTGGCTGAATGTGATTAACATTTGGGTGCCTTCCAAGCCCCACAGTTTTCCTGCCGGTTTGCACAAAGGCTGGAAGATGTTGGGTGATAGAGCTGAAGGAAACGCCCTCGTGCATCGTGCATCTTGGGCACATCTTCCCTTGCGGGGCCTCCAGCCACACGGCTTGGGCAATGAATACACGTGTGTTGGGCTGCTCTGAGTGTTTTCTTTTTTTGTGTGGATTTTTGGCATTTGTCAAAATAAAAGCATGAGAGCCAGCATGGTTAGAATCAAGCAGGACCAGGGTACAAGTCCCTGCACAACTGAGAAGCACAGTGGTTGGCCTTGGGCCAGATGCCGTCTTCCAGCCCAGCCTGCCTCACAGATGCAGCTAAACTGGTGTAGCTGAAATGGTGCCGTGGGTGGCGGAGGGAGGGGCATGTCACTCCGAGGTCTCTGGGAGAAGGCAGGTAAGATAGTAGGTAACAGAACGATAGGCTAGAGCCCTTCCTGAAAAATCGGTAGATGCGATATTTTCCTTTATTGTCTGCGGTCAGAATGTTCTCCTTGTCAGGCGTAATAGTAACTTGTCCTTACCAATTTCCATCTAGCAAAAAATTGGAGAATGGAAGCCGTTTCTGCAGAGGCTTTCCTTCCTCAGCAGCAGGGATGGCTGTACTCCATGTCATCTTTTGCAGTCTCAGGGCTGTGCCGCTCTCTGCGTTCTGCATTGTCTTCTCACGGCAATGTTGTTTTGTGTTCTTGTCATTTTTTTAATCTCTCACCATCTTACGTTTGACTTAGTTTGGAAAACACCGTTCCTTGGCGCCGGTTCACTGAGAGATGGCCTGGAGTACTCAACTCATGCCCCAAGTTTCTGCGTCTTGGATGCAGTCTGTGTCTTCAGTACTCCAAGAGAAATCCCTTGAGAGGAAATTCCTGAATAAGGGCATCGGTCTGTGGTGCAGGCACTAAACTGATGTTCTTTTATTTATTATCAGTTTATCTTCTTCTGCAGTGATTGTTACTGGAATAGATCCATGTCGTATAAATGAGGCTTCCTGAAATTCATTAGCAAGTATCCGAAATGGGGCCAATATTGCTGCACACGGTACTGTCCTTGTATATTCTTGAACATGGGTAGTTGTGTCCAGAGTGGGAGAAAGCACACAATGTGTCGTCCCTTTGGCTGCAGGTTGGAGAATCTTGAATTTCTCAGAGATGCTCTTTCCCTGTGTTGTGAAGTGTGACATGTGAACCAGGAATTCTTCATGGTTGTGAGAAAGACTACCCAGAATTCCCGGGCCCCACTTAACAAACCCAGACCGTGGAGCATCCCTGAGCTGTGTAACCTCTAGGAGCAGTTCGACGCTGGGAACACTTATTCATACTTCATTCACGGCTTAAACCCTGGTTGTTGTGATGTGTAAACTGGGTCAGTGTAGCTAGCAGACCGTATGTGAGCAAGTGCATGTAATTTCTATTTATTTAAAATGTTTTTAGACCGCCCCTTACCGTGGTCTTGGGACAGTTTAACAGTAAGACAAAATAGAATAAAATGCAGCATCCTGGTCAAAATCTTAACCAGTCAACAATAAAACGCATATTAAAACTACCAAATCTTAAAGCATTTGGGGAGACAAAAGGGCTTTAGCCTGGCACCAAATAGAATGAAGTGTCGGTGCCAGGCGAACCTCTCTGAGGAGCGAATTCCACAGTCGGGGTGCCATGCAGAGAAGGCCCTGCTCTGGGTAGCCCCCCCTCCTAATCTCCTTCAAGGAGGGCTCCCGGAGAAGGGCCTCTGCCCCAGATCTTAAGGGGCAGGCAGGCACAGCGGGAAGGAGACGCTCCTTCAGGTAGCCAGGCCCTAAGCCATTTTTACTTGGTGTGAAGGTCCAGATGGGGCTATTGGTCCCGCACAGAGAAGCAAATGTAGCTGTTGGCAAAGGGAAATGTTGCATACGCTGTGAGACATTTCCTGGTGCTTTGTTCATGGAAACATTTATGAGTTTGCTTCCATAGATATTAAGTGTGTGTACAGCCTTTTGCAAGGAGCAACTCAAGGTGAGTTACGATAAATAGGAAGAAAAGGTCCAAGATCCAAAGAGCTACTTTGAACATGCTGCGGGGGTTACAGGCACCGTTTCTGTGAATGGCAGGCCCCCTTATCTCTCGCGAACTGCTTTGCAAGCACCTCGGAATGTTAAGTGTCTTAAGCTTTCAGAGGGGAGAGGAGACACTCCAGAAATATAAATCTAAAGCCCCCTTGTGCACAGCACTATGAATCAGAGCTTTTGTGCATCTAAAGGGCCCAGGTTTGTTCCCTAATTCAAATACAAAACTCAGTCGCAATGTCATTCCTGTGGAATGCCTGTCTGTGATAGGAGTTACTTTAGATTTCTCCCCACTGTTTTGTGTGTGTGTGTGTTTCAGGTATTTCTGTACTGTTCAACTAGACAAGCTCTTGGATGTAAATATAAAATTTCAAATTAAAGAGCTGTCCTTTGGGTTTAATTTTATAAGGCCAGAGCTGAATATAGTGGAAGCGAGGTTACTTGAACAAACCTCTGAATTTTTTGACAAAATCTGTGCATTTGGGTGTGTCTAAAATTGATATTAATAAACAATACCATCCTAGGGACAGAATAGACCTGGCATTTTTTCCAGCCTTTGTACTACTTGCTTGGGATATTCCAACTTGCAACTCGCAAGAGGGAAAACTGACATCCATT